ATGTCTAACATGTTGAACAAACCAGTTTTTGAACAGAAAAAAATCGAGATGAAAATGCCTCAGTTATCAAACAAAATTTCGGTTCTTGAATAACATTGCCAAACCGAGCCAAACCCGAACAGAATCATTTCTTAGTCGACTTGACCGCTGTGTTGTATACATTCATGTGTTGTGCTTTTTTTCCCCCAATTTTATTGTACTGTGATTTTTCTCTTTATTAGTCCTCAGTCATGGCTCCAAACAAAATTAACAGTGATACTAGTAAAGGAAAAAGAAAAGTTAAGCGAAAAACAATTGTTGATTACACTGTCTCTATGAAGATGATATTGTCTTGGTTTCATATGGCAAAATCAACAAAGCATACTATTCTCATAAATAAAGAGATGATCATGTCTTTCCTTCCATTTTCCAAACAATAACATTTCTTTCCCTCCCTTACGCCCTCAACTCTTCTACTTGTGGGTATGGTAAAATTAAAAGGTTTGTCTATATTTTGTGTGTTTAGTATTGTTTTTTTTTTTGTTTTTTTTTCTTAGTTTTAATGATTTTCATTAGTTTTGTGTAGAAACTTGTACACAAAGTACTGTTGATAATGTTAAAATAAGCAATCAGGAACAGATTAATCCATTTTGAATTGATTCCTACTGGAAAAATAGTTTTGGATTACGAATGGGCTTCAGGAACAATGTTCTACTATATTTCATTTTCAAAAAAAGTTGTTTACAAGCATACATATTTCCAAATAATGATACCATTGTTTTTTGCATTATTTAATAGCTTTTATATTTTTGGCTTGACAAAATATTTCTTGTGGAAGTCAGAAGTGGATTTGGAATTAAATTTTGATTTAAAATATTTGTTGCATTTGTCTGCAGTCGGAGTTCTAGTTCCACGTGCCATGTTTAATGGATGTCAGTTATCAGTTATCTCCAGCTAATTTTTCTCTGAAAGTTCTCCACTGCCTTAGCCGGGTATTGAACTCAAACTTTTTGGGTCCTGTCACTGGCTCTAACACCATTATCCACTGTGCCATGTGTCCTTGAGGATATATGGACAGCGAAATAAAGGGTTCAGTTCAACATTCCAACCACCTGAAGTGCACCCCAGAATTTTAGTTATTCTACAAGTGTGCTCTGAAATAAAAAAAAGGGGTTGTGAAATACTGGTGTATAGTGTTGGCAACAACAATATATGAGAATTAAATTAGGTTTCCTTAAAATCTTTAAAAAATTAAAACATCCAAATAAAAGTTAAAAATTATCATGCAATCTGTTTTCACTACTTTCAAATGAAATTCTGTTGTCATGATATCATGAAGTATTAATGTATCACTGTTAATATAAAAATGAGATATCAGTAAATAGGGGAGATCAGTTGCATGACCAATAAATAGATAAGTCATATCTTTCTTTATTGTATAGAATATGCAGTGGTGCTGAAAAGTTCTTGACCTTTCAAAACAATAAAATCTAAACTGTTTGGTCAGATTTTGAAAATGGGCGGGGTTGAGAATTTTTTTCATCACCTCCTTGTAAACTGTTGTTCAACTTGCCTTTCATAAATTGTGGGATAACTTTTTCCATACACAAAACATTCAGCTTCTCATTGTGTGCAGATATGATGTGGCATTGATGGGAGGAGGGCTTCCTTGGCTGAAGTCAATGACAAGAGTTCCTTGATGGAATCAACAGCACTGTGTCCATGGCCAATTTGAGCTTTGAAATTGCAAGACATTGGTTGTGGTTTGGCCTGGAGGGGGATGGGCTCCGTCAGGTTGACTTGCCCAAAAATTTATGTTTTTCAATATGTGGAGGGTACTGGTCATGTGTTCAGCAGTGTAGTAATGCTATGACCACATTTGGTCATGGGACAGATGATTAATTTCAAAGTATCAGGGACTTCAAGAATTATAATGCTTTAATTTATTGGTACCATAGGTACTTGTGTATAAACTGACTTCATGTATAGTGCAACCCCCGGAATTTTTTTTTGCATGAATTCTAACCCCACCCCACCAAAAAAAAAATTACTCATGTATAGTGCAACTGGTCATGGAAAATGAATGATTTTTAATCTCTTTAATTACCTGTGTATAGTGCGACCCCTTATTTTTTGTGTAAAAAAAACTAATCATAAAAACTCTAACTATACACAGGTATATATAATATGTGTTTAGAATTCTTCTGGGAAAATAAAAAAATCCCTGAAATGTTGCACTTTTTGTGACAGTGATGAACTTATATATGAATAAATATTTTTATCTTTTCACGAATGAAAGAGTTTTAATTTAGCAGAATTTAGAAAACCTTTTCAATGATCTTTTCATGCTTTCAAAAATCATGAAAAATTTTTTCGCTTTTACTCTTATGTAATATCAATCCACATAGAGGACAATAAATTCTTGACAATCTCCTCACAGATGAAGAAAGGAACTTGAGGCAGCAGAAATGTGGTTCTACAGAAGGATACTGAGAATACCATGGAGTGAATATGCAAGTAATGATAAAGTTTAAGGAAAAATGGAAATACACACACACACGCATATATATATATATATATATATATATATATATACACACACAAACATACATATATACATACACAGACACATTATATATATATACACACACAAACATATATATACAGTGTATCACAAAAGTGAGTACACACCTCACATTTCTTCAAATATTTAAGTATATCTCTTCATGGGACAGCACTGAAAAAATTACCTTTTGACACAATGAAAAGTAGTCTGTCTGCAGCATATAACAGAGTTAATTTCTTTTCCCCTCAAAATAACTCAAAATATAGCCATTAAAAGCTAAATCCCTGGCAACAAAAGTGAGTACACCCCTAAGAAACTACATCCGTAAAAAGTGAGTTCACCCCTAAATGTCTAAATTGAGTACTGCTTTTCATTTTCCCTCCAAAATGTCATGTGACTCATTAGTGTAACTATGCCCATGTGTTCATGGGGAGCAGGTGTATTCAAATTTGTAGTGCAGCTCTAACACTCTCTCTTACCAGTCACTGAAAGTTCCAACATGGCACCACATGGCAAAGAACTCTCTGAGGATCTTAAAAACGTATTGTTGCACTACATAAAGATGGCCAAAGCTACAAGAAAATTGCCAACACCCTGAAACTGATCTGCAGTACAGTGGCTAAGATCATCCAGCATTTTAAAAGAGCAGGGTCCACTCAGAACAGGCCTCGGGTAGATTGTCCAAAGAAGCTGAGCGCATGTGCTGAGCGTCACATCCAAATGCTTTCTTTGAAAGATTGGCGTAGGAGTGCTGTTAGCATTGCTGCAGAGATTAAAGAGATTGGGATTCAGCCTGTTAGTGTTCAGACCATACGCCGCACACTACATCAAATTGGTGTGCATGGCTGTCACCCCAGGAGGAAGCCTCTTCTGAAGGCAATACACAAGAAAGCCCGCAAACAGTTTGCTGAAGACATGTCAACAAATCCCATAGATTAATGGAACCATGTCTTATGCTCTGATGAGATGAAATTTAATTTGTTTGGTTCTGATAGTCTTAAGCATGGGTGGCGGCAACCAGGTGAGGAGTACAAAGATAAGTGTGTCATGCCTACAGTCAAGCATGGTGGTGGGAATGTCATGGTCTGGGGCTGCATGAGTGCTGCAGGTATTGGAGAGTTACATTTCATTGAGGGAAACATGAACTCCAACATGTACTGTGAAATGCTGCAGCAGAGCATGATCCTCTCCATCCAGAAACTGGGTTGCAGAGCAGTGTTCCAGCATGACAATGACCCCAAACACACATCCAAGACAACCACTGCTTTACTGAAGAGGCTGAGGGTAAAGGTGATGGACTGGCCAAGCATGTCTCCAGACTTGAACCCAATAGAACATCTTAGGGCCATCCTCAAGCAGAAGGTGGAGGTGCGCAGAGTCTCAAATATCCGCCAACTCCATGACATCGTCATTGAGGAGTGGAAGAGCATTCCAGTGACTACCTGTAAAGCTCTGGTAAACTCCATGCCCAGGAGAGTAGAGGCAGTTTTGGATAATGATGGTGGCCACACAAAATATTGACAGTTGACATGTTGTATGTTAATATTGACAACTTTTCCTAAGGGGTGTACTCACTTTTGTTACCAGGGATTTAGCTTTTAATGGCTATATTTTGAGGGAAAAATAAATTAACTCTGTTATATATGCTGCAGACAGGCTACTTTTCATTGTGTCAAAGTGTCATTTTGTCAGTGTTGTCCCATGAAGAGATATACTTAAATATTTGAAGAAATGTGAGGGGTGTACTCACTTTTGTGATACACTGTATATACACAAACATACATATATACATACAAAGACACACACACACATATATATATATATATATATATATATATATATAGCTTGCAATGCTGAACGTTTATAAAAATATTTACCACTGAATTAAGTGCATTGCCAGATGTGGAGATTATGCTGAAAAATAAGTATTTATTACATAAAATAAATACTTTTACCTTATCAGGCTTATTAAATGTATCTATATATAAACACTATCCCAATTATATACATCCTACCCCCCAATTATAAACAAGATTTCCTTCATTATAAGTTCAAATTTACCAAAAAAATTTCAAAATTAATTAACTTAAAATAAAATATATTACAAAAATTTGAGAACATGTAGCATGCTCGTACCAACAATGTTTATCTTTCCACAGATGACCAAAGCGCTGAAATGTCTTGCAATTATATGCTTACTTTGTCTTGTTAAGAAAGGTTAGTCATGGGACAGAAAGCATTGCAATTTCTTTTGTGTCATGGCTGTAGATGGCAGAGTGAAACACCAAACTGACCTTTATTTCAATATGATTGTATCAATAGGCAATCAGAGAGGATTTAGAAAGCTTTCATTCAGGACTAGTCAAGGCAAAAGAAAATGTAATGTCATCACAGACAGGAAAATTCTTAAGAGAAATGAACTCGTGATCTTGCGCGTTTGTCTTGATAGCCAGGATCAGGATGAAAAAATAAGGAAAAAAAAGAAGAAAAAAAAGAAAGACCGAAGAAGGAAAAAAAATTGCAAGGAACAAACATAAAAAAGAAAAAAAATTAAAAGAAATGATAAAAAAAAAGGAATGGAAAATAAGAGAAAAGAATGAAAGATATGGAAAAATGGAAAATGTGAAAGAAAAAATTCAACGAAACTGGAGAGACTGAAAAGAAGGAAGATTTTAAAAGAAAGGAAAAATAAAGGAATGTTGCAGGGAATCAGAAACAGAAAAAAGGGGAAAATAGTTTGAAAACTCGAGAAAAATTTGTGGATTTATGATGTAGATAAAAAAAAAGAATGAAAAAATAAATGAATGAACAAAGAAAAAATGAGCAGAAAATTAAAGAGAAACGAGTGTGTGAAAGAGAGCGAATGAAGAAAAAGAGTGTGTGAAAGAGAGCGAATGAAGAAAAAGAGTGTGTGGAAGAGAGCGAATGAAGAAAAAGAGTGTGTGAAAGAGAGCGAATGAAGAAAAAGAGTGTGTGAAAGAGAGCGAATGAAGAAAAAGAGTGTGTGAAAGAGAGAGAATGAAGAAAAAGAGTGTGTGAAAGAGAGCGAATGAAGAAAAAGAGTGTGTGAAAGAGAGCGAATGAAGAAAAAGAGTGTGTGAAAGAGAGCGAATGAAGAAAAAGAGTGTGTGAAAGAGAGCGAATGAAGAAAAAGAGTGTGTGAAAGAGAGCGAATGAAGAAAAAGAGTGTGTGAAAAAGAGTGTGTGAAAGAGAGCGAATGAAGAAAAAGAGTGTGTGAAAGAGAGCGAATGAAGAAAAAGAGTGTGTGAAAGAGAGCGAATGAAGAAAATCAATGCAGACAAAGGTGAAAGAAAGAAAACCTGAATGAAAGAATGGGTGGAATAAGAAAAAAAAATCTATACAATACCTTACATATATATGCATACAATTTGTCTGAAAACTTTTTCTGCACTAAAGCAAGCAGATTTTTGACTGTTTTTTCTTTTAAATCAGTGTCATTACAAGCAAAGCGGTACAGCCGCTATTATGTATTTTATATAAGTGCACATTGAAGTCAACACTCAGAGACAACAGGCTGTTTTATGGTGGACTCAATTATCAGGCAGCCTGACAATTGTTCACTTTTATATTCATATACGCTCTACCTCTGATATTGAGCACTTTATCCCTTAAATATAGCACATCTTAAAACTATATATAGTCGAGATTCGACGTATGAGGGTCAAGCAGATCAGTTTCCAGGAAACCGACAGCCCGACACTAGCACATGAGATTTGATTATAGTGGTGAAGGTTTCATGCAGGACCATCAACACTTTTTGAAGGGCCGAATACAGGGACCTGGTGCACCGAATGCCACAAGGTTCCCAAACGACCCTCCGCAGGTTTTAAATTCAGATTTGTCCTTCTCCTAGACCAGTTGCTATCCAAGGCTATAGAATCCAGTCTGTCCTGCTAATTTACCCATAGCTGAAGGGAGAGGAAAATTAAATTGAATTGTTTATATCTGGGGTAGACAGTTGGTAGCAAAAATTACAGCTAAGTTGGTGAGACCACTGTGGTTCCATTCAAGTTTTTAAATTAATCAGGATGCAATACTAATTATTACTGAACAGCTAGGTAAACTTAACATATTTGGGAAGGACATTAGAATAATCCATAGCCTATAATGGCAGCAGATCATCTTGTGGGGAGAAATAGCTATACACATGGAGTATTTTTGAATTTCTCATATATGTACAAACAAATGATAAGGAATTATTAACAAGACAAAAGTTATATTGTTATAAGTGATAAAGACAATGATATTGTATGTATGTGACAAAGCAATGAATGAAAACTTTTAAAAACTAGTGAATTGTATGTAAAATGTGTGTAGAAGTCCTAGAGAGAATGAAGCTGTGTATGTATGTATGTATTCATTTCCCAATGGAAAACATTTTCACAATAGACCTACATCCTAGCATGTCTAAGGAAAATAGGAAAAAGGAATGATAGAAAATATTACAGTGTATTTACAAGTTCAGAAAGCATCCCCTAGTGGTGTTTTTTTTATAAGGAAAAAAAGTGGGGTAACTCCACAGTTCTCACTGGAATTATTCAACCTATAAAGTGAGGGGGTTCTGAGAGAATTAGATGTTCTACCAGGATTCATTATTAGCAGCCACAATCTTAACAGAATATGATATGCAGATGAAATGGTATTGATAGCAGACATATAAAGTAAACCAGAACTCCTATGGAAGGTCATAAACGAAAGCAAGAAGAAATGGATAAACATTAGTTGCAAGAAGAGCAAAAGGATGAACCCAGCATGCAAATTACAAATCGGACATACTAAAATTAAACGAGTACAAAAATTTAAATATCTGATAAAAACAAAGGATGGAAAGTATAACACTGAAATCTCAAGGCACATTGGGATAGCCAAAGATGCCTTACCAAAAGCTAAGCAAAGTATTAAGAAACAGGAAAGTTTCATTAAAGAGAACTGAACTGTTTTGTAATATCAGACCTCCTATACAGCAGTGAATGCTTAACAATATCCTCAAAGATGAAGAGAATTGAAGCAACAGAAGTGTGGTTCTACAGAAGGATGCTGAGAATACCACTGACCGAACATGTGAACAACTACAAAGTTTTAGAAAAAATGAAGACAAAAAGGACACTTAACATCAGAAAGATACAGTGGAAATATCTAGGGCACATAAGGAAAGAGGGCTTGGAAAAATTGATATTCACATGATAGAATGAAGACAAGAGGAGCATAAGAAAAGAATTCATAACCTACCTAGGGAGCTTGAGTTAGATGGCAGAACAAGGTTTAGGAGAGATAATGAAAAAAAAAAAAACAAAATTTATTAAGAGCTACAATGGGGAGGAAATTGTGGAGAGTCATGATCGCAAATAACAAAGGGTCACAGCACATAGAAAAAGAAAAAGCATGGCTAACTGAAGAGCGTGACTATCTGACTATCTGCTGAAGTAAAATCTAGTGATGCTTTTTATGTAGAAAATCAGGATTTGTGTTGCTGCAAGCGCCTGTCAACGAGATTTCACACGACTGAGAGAGCTCGTTTTAACATAAATACGATAGTCATTATTTATTTATTTGTAATGGTTTCTGTATGTGTGTACTTTTTAAAGCTAATCTTTCTTTTATATTTGTTCATCATCCTTCAAATGTTTGCTTTAATACAAACAAGAAGGGTTATGGTCCTAAAAGGTAGCTATTTAAAAATAATTATGGTAAATGGATTTAATCTCTGACAGATGGAAAAAATCTATTTTCAACATTCTATATGGTTTGGGCTGAATGAACAAAATGAAATGAATTTTTAATTAAACTTGGAATTACTCATCCTGTATATCGATTAGATTTTTGATAAAATGAATTACGAAAGAAAAAAAATGCAGGCTATTTCAACTTGTAACGAAAAGAATAATTACATTTCATGGACTGATTGCCAAATGCTATATAAAAAAACATACACACATATAAATTGTAAGTTTAGTCACTTGACCAGATTTTGGAGGAGTAGGTCAGGCTGGAACGTTTTCACAGCTCACACAAATAAAATCTCAACTATATTAAACAATATCCACTTCTTCCTTCGTGCCATTAGACATTCCTGTGGAAAATAACACTACAGCCTGACCACTAAGTGTTGCTGCCATTGTTTCTGCAACATGTATATTTTCATGTGGTGAAGTTGCCAGGCACATGCCCGCCTGATTCCCTTCTCTGAGACTTTTTGGCAACCAAGACTAGAGGGTCTACTCTACCCTGTTATTTAACCCATCATTTAAATATATATCTCCAAGTAACTAGAAAAATGGAAAATTAAATGTCTTTGACTAGATGCGAGGGTGTCTCGTCAGTATCCTAACGATGTTGTGACTGTATCTTTTTGCTTGATATATTGTCTGAAAGTGGAATTGTTTTTCGCCATTCTATCTCCTCTTTTGAAATCTTATTGAAAGCATATCTCCCTAGCCCAGTACTTGGTGGGGGCCGAGGATTGGCCGATGATTCCTCCCCCCCCCACCAGGTCGACGCTTGGACACAAGGTAAAGCCGTATATTCAGTCACCATCATCATGACGATGTAGGCAGTCACCCACTTGTTGGCCCATGTGAGTATCGTTTCGCTCTAGCTGAATGCATTTAGATCTTTCATTTTTTTTTTTTTTCGTTTTTTATTTTTCCCTCCCCCCCCCCCTACTGAAAGGCATTTTGTCCCAATGATGCTACTTATTTGATAATTTAGTAAGGAATCCCGATCCGAAATGTTAACAAAGTAAAAAACTAGAAAAATGGAAAATTGAATGTCTTCTACTGGATGTGATAATAAATCCGGGTAACCGTATTTTCAATTTGTTTTAGAATAGACAATGGGACTTATACTAAGTTAAAACTTAATGTGATAGAGTATAGCCAATTGTGAACCAGGACTCCTTACCTGTTATCTCCCCTCCAATCCTTCCCTCTGTTTTGTGTCGTCCTTTTTGTGTTATCTGTAATAGGGTAGGTAGTCCCTTCTACCGCCCGGTCAACACTCCTCCCCCTTCTATTGGACATGAGTAGAGGCTTACACCTTGTTTCTTGTCTAGGATGGGGTTCCCGGTACTGTCTTCTCTCTCCGGCCTCTGTATTAGTGCAGGTCTGTTTCTTCCGTGATGCGTGCAGTCTGTGGCAACATCTCTTCATTCTGAGGGTACACGGCTGACAGTTCTCTGGTTGCTGTTTCCGACTGGTAGTTAGGAGCCCTAACTCTTGCGTAGCGTCTTGAGCGGCTGCTCTGATCAACAGTTGTATAATACCGGGGTGTTTGTAGTGCCATGTCGCGCGTGGAAAGGGGTCCCTGCAGTCACCTCCGGTGGGCAGCCCTGAGGCCACATAATGATGCGGATTTTGCCAACTCCTCTCTGCCCGCGTCACGGTCGAAACTGTCTGTTTTCTTTTACCTCGGGCCTTCTCATCTTTGCAAATAAATCCAACATGAGTTACAAAAACCGAAAGATTTACCCTAAACCAGCATCTCTGAAACCACCTAAACCCCTCAACATTTCATTCTCCAACATCCGGGGCATTAGAACAAACTTCTACAGTCTGGAATCTTTCCTCACTGCAAACGGCCCGGATGTACTGGCTCTCTGCGAGACAAACCTTGTCTCATCTATCCCCTCTTCTGATCTCTCGATCCCCGGCTATCTTCCTCTCCTCAGAAAAGACTCTCTAACCCACATACACGGTCTTGGTGTCTACGTCAAGGAACATCTCCCCCTGGACAGAGAGTCCTCTCTTGAATCGCCTGACCAGTCATACATGTGTCTCCGTCTCTCTCTCCTCAATGCGGTAAGCTATCTCTTCTTCCTTTACCGCTCTCTATCCTCTCAAGACTGTGAGATACTTGATAGCATTTCTGACAACATAGACAAGGCTCTCTCCCTCCACCCGTTTGCTCACATTTTTGTGTTTGGAGACTTTAACGCCCATCACACTCTGTGGCTTAAGAATGCTACTACTGACCATGCAGGCATTCAAACGCTTAATTTTTCAATCTCCCATTCCCTCACACAGATAGTTAACTTCCCCACTCGTTTTGCCCTCAACCGGGTAAGTAAAGCCTCTCTACTCGACCTGTGCTTTACCTCCATCCCCGAATCCTGCAGCGCCTCGCAACTATGCCCACTTGGTAACTCTGACCATGCAGTAGTATCGGTTAACATCTCCTTTAACTCCACCCCCTATAAAGAACCTCCTACCACTAGAACTTCGTTCTATTATCAACGAGCTGACTGGGACGCGTTCCGTGATTTCCTCCGCGATGTCCCCTGGGATGGAGTCTTTAAGCTCCCCGTCCAAGAATGTGCTTCTGAGGTCTCTTCCTGGGTTAAAGCTGGAATCGACGCTTTCATCCCA